ATTAAGTTTCGTTTTTTTATAATGGGGTATAAATCGATTGATCAAACACAAATTTCTATTATAGGTATGAGCCGGGTTTTTTTTTAATCCGTTCAGAAAAAATCATTACTCTTCCAAACTTTAAAACGGGTTAAATTGTGTTAAACATATTATGACATTTGTTGTGTAATTTGTCATACTTAACGCTTCTTGCAAATAAGATTATGAATCCCTTAATTAAATTGTCTCCCAAACTATCCAGGACTAATACAAAATTTATTAAGAAAAGGCCTGTTTTAAGAGAATCATAAAATATCATAATTATGATTCGTATTAACTGTAAAACAAAATTTTAATTCGAAAAATGTTATATTTATATTGTGCATTTGATTAACAATATCAATTTAGTCGCATCAAACAAACACACAATACAAAACATAAACAAACATTTGATTTTGGTACGTTTTCATGCTTTTCGGGAATCCTACATAATTATATAAACATGCTTAAATCTACAAGATATTTAGTGTTTTTTAAAATATTAAGACTAATATTTTCACTTTTAATTCTGTTAAAATGCAATCAAAAGAATGTACCATATATCGGACAGTTTCTTTCTCTGTATGCAATATATAAAGCTATACTCGTATACCATTAAAATTGTAAAAGACGTAAAAGCATGTCTACAGATTCATTGACATCATGGACGTATTTTATTTATGAAAACTATTAAAATCTTTGTTAAGTACAATATATATATGTATATTGCTGCTGCTGTTAACGTAATAAATTACGCAAGAAAGAGTTACACACCAGAAATATACTGTTAGTTTGTTAGTTTGGTGATGAAGTATGCAATACCAAAACAAAAATGAAAAACATTCTTCAGAAATAAATGAATACATAATATAATAGTTATGTTAGTATTATCTTTTATTAAGTTTTTTTACCCCATTTTGGGACTAAGTTCTAAAAAACCCTTAAAATTGATAGAAATCAATTAAAGTTTCATTCTTTTATTGAAGACTGGTGTTTATATTATATACAATGTATAAGAAAAATGTGACTGTATGCTTGGTAATCAATATACTTACTTACAGAGATATATTAGAATCAGTTGTGTAGATTTAGCAAGCCTTTTTACGATTTTGTCAAAGTCTTATATTTTTGGGTTGCATATATAGCTATCTATGTTCCAGGTTCCTGTAAAAATGTTGCAGAGGACAGGTCATAATATTTATGTTGAGCGCTAAAAAGAAGACAATAAAAATAATATTTTTTTGTAAAAAAAAACATATTTTCTACTTTTAAACAGACAACAATAGTGTTCATTTCCATCTTTATTATTAAAGTCAAACTCGTCACCATTTGACTCTCAGTTTGGAATTCGTTTAGGTACAAAACAAACATTATTTCTAAAGGTGTACCAAGATCACCAATATCATTTTTAGATTAAATTATATATTGATAGCTTTGAAAAAAATTAAGATAGCTATTTCTAAAGTTCGCCCCGCTGGGGCGCAGAGCGAGATTTAAGAAATAAAACGGCGGTGTCGCGGGACGAAAACACGCTAATTAGCAGGGGCGCGGGGTGAAGTTTTACATGTATTGATTAAACTTCGCCGCGCGCCCTCACTAATAAGCGTGTTTTGATCCAACCCACCCCCATTTTAACTTGTTAATTATCGATTTTCGCTTGGCGGGCTCACGGGCGAAAACACGAATGGCACAAATCAGCAAGCATACATATCAGGTTTTAAATTGCAAATTCTTTATTAAACTTAAAATTATAAAAACCATCATCATACTTGAAACCGCGTGAAAAATTAAAACAATACACGAAAAGTAATTATTATTAGTCATTTGAAACCGCGTGAAGAAAATATTAAAACAATTCATGAAAAGTAATTATTATTAGTCAACTGAAACTGCGTGAAGAAAATATTAAAACGATTCATGAAAAGTAATTATTATTAGTCAACTGAAACCGCGTGAAGAAAATTTTAAAACAATTCATGAAAAGTAATTATTATTAGTCAACTGAAACCGCGTGAAGTAAATATTAAAATAAATTAAATTCAATAATCTTAAAGGAAAGTAATTAAGTATTGCCATACAAATATATATATTATATATATATATATATTATTATATAATATATATTATATATATATATATATATATATATATAATATATATATATATATATATATATATATATATATTCATTCTATATATATATAAATTATATGATATATATTTTTTTATATTTGGTATTCAACAGGTTTTTATATACCAGGAAGAAAAGGAATGTAAAAGAACATTCCAAGAGAAAATGGGGCAAGGTCACAGTGAAACCCCTTTCCAAGCTGGGAATATGGTATTTCCAGGTCTAAGTAGTGTAAATGTTATGTTTCTTTTTTCAAAAGGTTAAACAATTAGGTAAATCGTTCCATATAATTGTCAAATCAAAAGAATTAAGGTGGAATATGAAATCTGCCGACATTAAAACGCATAAACAACAATGAAACCCTTGAAAACCTGTAATCTCTACCGTTCACACTCTATATAAGTTAGTAAAGCGGACGATTCGTTTCCCGATCTCTTCTATTTTTAGAAATGAACATCACTGTCGCCCGAAGCAGGCTTTCGGTGATACGATGCACTTTTCCAAGATAAAATTACTGAACTACTTATTTTGAAACAATACAGAATAATAAATTATTGTTTTTCTTTCCAACAGAAAATAAAAGCTGAAGGCCGCTTTAAGCAATAATGCTCTTATAATATGATATGACCTCAAAAGAAAGTCAAGGTAAGATTTTCTATCTGATATATGATAAATGATACAAACTTAGATCTATTACCGGCTTTAATATATATGAGCCGCGTCACGACAAAACCAACATAATGTGTTTGCGACCAGCATGGATCAAGACCAGCCTGCGCAATCGCGCAGTCTGATCAGGATACATGCTGTTCGCTTACATACCCTATATCAAGTAAAGAAACTGATAGCGAACAGCATGGATCCTAATCAGACTGCGCGGATGCGCAAGCTGGTCTGATTACATGCTGGTCGCAAAACCCATTATGTTGGTTTTGTCGTGACGAGGCTCAATTATATTTTTTTATTTTCCTGAACCAACATAACAACAGTCAAACATGCAACAAGGTCATTAAATTGTGACATTTTTTTAAACAGTCATATAAAGTCAGATGCTGCAGGAAAGAAAATGCTTATGACATGTATGATAAATTATATTATTTATATTCAACAACTTGTATATACTTGTGTCTCCTCGGATCATCTTATGTTGAAACCACATTCTTATTCTAGTATAAAGTACACGGTAATTTTATAGTAAGAGCGAAATATACTGGAACAATAGAAACAATTGAAGAGAAAATTAAATATACAGGATATTTTAGCATAAAATTGTATGTAATTGTTAAAAAATACTGTGTATATAAGCCGTACAGGAACACGTTAAAAAAGATATTTTAAAAGAATTAGGCCTATGATTGATGTCATTTTTGTGTTTACCTATATCTACTTTTTCTGATCTTATCAGCCACGGGAGAGTTGTTTACACTGCATAGAGCTCATCATTAAAGACATTACAATTATCACTTTCATCAACGTTGTGATCAACATCATCATAACAAAAAACACCATCACGTTCATCATTATTTAAAACATCAACGGGTCCCTCATCATCAGAACATCATCACCCCCATAATCATCATTAAAAATTATCATCACCCTCACCGTTAAAGAAAAGTTATCTGCATCAGTATAATTGAAATCAACATAATCGGCGCATGAATCATCATCATTACAATCATCATCATCATCTTCATCATCGTCGTCGTCGTCATCATAATCATCATCAAATCATTATTACCTCAATAATCATCATCAAAATTATCACCTCTTCCATCATAATCATCATCATTAATTCCCAGATCAAAATGATCATTATCCTGCATCAGCATCAAAATCGTTTATATCATCATCATCATCATCATCATCATCATCATCATCGTAACTATATTTATAATTATCATCAAATCTTCATTAATTAAAAACTATTCATCACCTTTATCATCATTATCATCAAAATTTATAATTATCGTCACTTTTTCAGTATTTTCATCATCATCATCTTCTTGTAATCATCATCAACTTCTTGATCATCATCATCTTCTTCTTTTTCTTCTTCATCATCATCTTCTTCTTCTAATCATCATCAACTTCTTGATCATCATCATCTTCTTCTTTTTCTTCTTCATCATCATCTTCTTCTTCTTCATCATCATCATCATAATCAGCAGCAGCAGCAGATTATATATATATCAGTGCTATTTTTTCATTGATTCACATAGGAAAAAAAACGCAACTGAAATATAACAGTATGCCATCTCATTGGACAAAAAATAATTTCAAACACTAACACCTATTATAAATCAGTATAGGTTTTACAGAGGCTGCAATGGGACGTGGTATTACACATTCCCAGTAGCAAAAACATAGATTAATTAGCAGATATTGTTTATTTTTTTCTATCGTTTACATTTTACACAAACGTAAAATCACTGAACATAGTAACATTTTACTGATTTCTGTTACAATTATTTTTAATGAAATTGAGATAAAAGAAACTCGTTAAACACTTGATTATAACGAGTAATATAGTATTCCGGCCTCGACATCTTTTTATCACAAACTTCTCTCGATGTCGCAAAAGAACAAAACAATATTATTCATCATAATTATATAAATGTTCATTTTTAGTCACTTAATAATATATCAACGTTTGTTTTTGTTATAACAACTTTTTATAACAATATCCAATGATATACTCGTATATCTATTGTTTTATCAATAATTGAAACATATATGAAAAATGTGCCATCGTAGACCAATCCGCTTAAAAGAAGAGGGTGGATAAGTGGACAATCCAAGTACTTTAAACAGGAAAAAATTGTTTTCATATTCAATTGTAACTAAACTTTCACGGGGTTCACAATACTAAAAATGCATCACGTATCTTTTTGGTATTTCAGGCTGTTGGTTATAGCTGCAACCGGTAAGAAAAAAATTATAGAATTTCTATTTTAGTAATATTTTACCGAGCATGCATTATGATACACAATGTATTTGTACAAATTTTGTTTGTTTTGGTCATATGGCAACGTTTCAGCTTTACCTGTGCTCTTCCGTGCATTATTTCGGACACGAACCGGCACCTGAGTAGAACCACCGAGGTTCCGTAAGAATGGACTGTTTGACACAATCATTTTGGGGAAAAAATGATGAAAACTTCGGGAGGTAATACACAAAGTTGTTATTAGCCACGAAATACTTAGTTCGTAGGGTTTATAAATGCGATTTATTCATTTAATTCAGTTTAAACATGTGCATATTTATTTTAATATTTCATCATTTTTTTTTACATTTATATGTGTTCAATTATTACATATAGCTGAAAGGGGATATAACTAAAGAGAACTTATAAAGTTTCTCTTCCCGATTTTGCAAGAACAAAAATTCAGTTAATTTGTGAAAAATCCATCCAGTATTTTTTAACAAAATTGATGATATATCAACCCTAATTCCGCCGTGCCAAAGGAAAAAAATGCCCGGGCTCTCCACCCAATATATATATAATATCTAAAAAAAATTGTAGATTTGTGACTCTGCATGTCAGCTTTTACTCGTTGAGTCATACATCGAGTGTCCTTTGATGCCACAATTTAACGAAGCAGATAAACTACTATGTAGAACCGCCGGGCTGGATAGCTAGGTCGCACGAATGGCACTTAGATTCTGATGGAGCTCGAAATCCATAGTGATTAGGGCAATTGTTAAAAGGCAATGACCCTTATATTACTCGACAATTGAGGACCTTAATTGTGTTTATACATATAAATCGACTAGAGCTTTATCTATAAATTTGAAACTTAGATATTAATTATTGTTTTAAGTTCATAACGCATAATTGTCATTGATTTTTATTTTAATTTCCTTGGTAAAACAATTATAGTTTATACAGCAATATGTTTCACATAGCTTTTGGTACCCAAATACAACGCATGATATAAATTCTATATATCGTTAGTTATAAAATGGTAATAAAGACATTTGCCCGGGTTATATGAAGTAGTATAAACGTGTGTAAGTTTATATAACTGGAGACGCCAGACTAGGCTTTTAAATTAAACATACTTTTGCACAAGGTCATATCATTTAAAACGTTTGTCGCAGGGTCATATTGATATATTAATGTTCTATGTTATTTGTAAATGTATGTCCCGTATTGTACACCGTAGATCATGTGAAGTCCTATATTTGTGTCCTTTTCCTATATTCCATCCATTCATCCTTTTATTCATTTACTCATTCATTCATTTCTTCATTCATTCATTTATTAACAAGCATGTACTAACCATTGGTACGGGCCTCAATCCTAAATATTCTATTTCCGCACTAAGTACCTTCACGCATGCGCACTCCTACTGAAGATTTTCATGGCGCGAGCCAGACTTCGTATTCATTCATAATAATTAAATTCTGAGAGCGTATTTTGTATTTTTATAGGTAAGTATGAATGTCTTTATTGATCCCATACTTGTTATTTTACATTTTGCAATTCATGATTTTGTGTCATTTGTCATTATTTTGTATTTGCACTCCTACTGAAGATTTTCATGGCGCGAGCCAGACTTCGTATTAATTCATAATAAATATTTTCTGAGATCGTATTTCTGTATTTTTATAGCAACCCTCAAGCCCAGAACCTCTTAGCAGCACCTTTCCCATATCGTTAGAGTGGACTGCGACACGTTTTTATAACGAATTTATAAAACATGGGTATTAAAGAATTGATATCTTTGATAAAGGTTGAGAATAAATTTATAAACATGCTTTATTGTGTAACAAAATGCGAAAACTTTGTCTAGGTGATATAACAGGTTTGCAGGATTTAGATCGAATTTCGGCAAATAATTATTATCATTTTATATATATTTATATATATTTAACGTTTTTTTGTATTACAGTAACATATGTACTGGCCGTTTTATGTTACACCTGCATTGGAGATGGGTGTGGGGATCCGTTTGACGAAAGCCAAGCCAAACAACAATCCTGTAACGGAAGTTGTCTGAAGGAAATTAAAAACGATCGTAAGTATGACACAAATGACGTCATCATACTACATTACGTTCTAACGAAATTCGGTCAAAATATCCATCCAATGATCTATCAATCGATTAATCCATCCATTCATCAATCCATCCCCAAAAAATGTCAAAACCCTCGCTGGTAAGCATACATCCATCCAGCCGTCCTCCCTCACTTCAAACAGTATTAAACCCCTAGTAGGTACGTGGGCATCCGTCCATCCGTCCTCCCTCCCTCTACCTTCCAATAGTGTCAAACTCCTAGAGGGTACTGAACATGCGTACAGCAAAACAGAAAACTTTAGAATAAGATTGATTATTGTAAAATAACTTTTTCTCTTAACAGGCTTGTGTTCAATATACCGTAATGGTTATATACCAGTGTGTAATGTTGGCAACAAAATGCTACGTTGACAACATAATTGTAAGACGGTGCCATATGTTGTATTTATGAAATACGTTATTTTGTAATATGTTGTTGCTCTTATATAGCTTAAAACGTGGCTCAGACCCAGTCCGACTAGTCAAAACTTGGGTAATGTCTATTCCGTACATGGACGAATGAAATGTCAATAGGAAAGACATGTTTCTCCAACAGGAGAATCCCCTCCTTCCTTTACAACCCCAATGTCCAAGAAATCTTTGTAACTACCTGTTTTTAATATTGATGAACTGTTTGTTACTGGCAGGGTACGGTTGTAATGGTTAAACCCCGTTTTCAGTAGTAGCCTTTAGATCGATTTGTAACAAGACAGAACCGTTTCTTACATTAAAAGACACTTTTCCAAAAAGGAATAGCCATATCAATATACTGATTCGTTTCTAAAACGAAAAACCTTTGTCCAAGACCTAGTTGTCCTACCGGACACACCCTTGTATATGACCAGTCTATAACACCTAATATTTTGAGATCAAAATAGACACATATCGTTTTGTCGCTGGTATAACATTTTTCATTCATTATCAAACATAAATCGATGTGAAAAGATGAATTAGACATCTTAAAGTTCATTCCGTAAGATGAAAAGGCGATATTTTAGCATTTATTCATTCAAGCGTCTTGTCCGGTATGTACCAAAATACGGTATTAAGTGTTGTGCTCTAATCCTTTTTTTAGTCACACTCATTTTCAACGCACGAACAAGACTGGAGTTACTTCCCCTTTCACTACGTCATCATAGTAAAAACACCCTGAGAATCAGAGTAGCCATAGCTTTAGTATTGTCAATGGTATTGAAATTTGGTACGGCAAGGAAATAAATAGTTGTAACTCATAACATGTCGAATTTATGAAATGTACTCGTAATTGTTCTGCTTTTACTTCGGAGCAGTCAATCATAATGTTAAAGGGACTCCACTGAAGTTATTCGTAATAAATATATTTCGTGATAAGTGTACCATTTTATGTACGTCTGCACCAATTTCTTGTGTGCACAATTTCAGATTACACCCTTACTCCGTTTTTTTACATAATTTTTTTTCCATTTGTGCAGCATGACAGAAAATTGAAAGGCGTTGCAATGCATTTCAATCCAATCGGGCTATCCATTATAGCACAAAAATGCGATTTTCAATTTATTTCTCAGTCTATCAAATTTTGTAAATTATCTTTCCCTATCATCCTCTTGGTAGTGCCCAAGTTCGTCTATGTAAGATTTCCATATTTTATGTTTTTAAGCTTTTGAACTTTCCAATAATTGAGCTATAAGTAGAACCTTGTCAGACTGCACGGATGGCTGCGTGATATGGCTCTTATACTGATAACAAAAGAATTATCACTTCCGGTTAATGCATTGTAAGGGTTAAACTTAACAAGATATTAAATACATTTTATTCTTTTTTATACAGATGTTCAGAGACATTGTATGGAAAGTTTTGGTTTCCCATTTGACGACGAGTGTATTATCAAGGTAGGAGGAACAGAAACCTGCTTCTGCTCCACGGATTTATGTAACGGATCCGACAAAAGAAACATTTCACTAATTAGTGTGATAATGTCTTTCCTCGCATTTGTTTGGTTGAAGTAATGAACGATGATAAAAAAAAATTTACTTCCCACAAAATACAACGATAAAGGTGTATATTACTTTTATATGTTCTATAAATAGCTTTGAATGCCTTTCTCTTACAAGCAACATAGAAGTATATTCACAACAGTTTTTTCTTCTTCTAAAAATCTAAAAAATAGATTTTATGGAAAGCCCACAAAAAGATGCGTGCTATGACGTGACGTCACGCCAAGTTTGTTTGTATAATTCTGAAAAAAAAAAAAACAAGAAAAAAAAAACAAAAAAAAAAAAAAAAAAAAAACAAACAAACGTTGGGCAACTTGCTAAAAAAAGTCAACTAGTATATTTTACCGTCTTTACATTTTTAAAAGAATTATTAAGAATTAAGCGTGCCAATGCGCATTTAAATACAGGCCAAATTATGGAATAAATTGACAAGCTGAAAAAAAAAAAACACCGATTTATGGAGATTTCATATCCCATGTTGAAACGATTGATGAATTATATAATAAAACAGATTTGTACTTTCTAGATGGTAAATATGATGTGATATGTACTAAAAAATCAATTGACATCAACTTTCGTCTCGGTCAATATTTCTTTTAGTACATATCACATCATTTTTCACCAGCTAAAAAGTCCATATTTGTATAATATTTGCAATGGACAATTCATAGGTATTTTCCTAATCATTGTTTATTCATATTTCTTTGTTATTTATCTTTTTTCTCTATACTCTCTCCTTAACCATTTATATATTAATGCCATACAAAAGATTTGTTGTATTGACGAGACATCAAAAACGAGACAAAAAATTCTCTGTACATAATTTATATGTGAATTAATACTATCTATTATATACTTATCAATGAGATATTGACAAAAATATTGGTTAAATAAAATGAGTATTTTTCATTTTTTTTCTCTGTAAAAAAAATTGCAGGGAAAATATTTTCCGTATTTTCATTTGTATCTTGTTATCAACAGCCAATACACAACATTTGAGGTGAAATGTCAAAAAAGAGAAAATGTATATATACTTAACAGAAAATTCTAGTTTTTTTTCTATAAATATACAGGATTTATTTTCATCTTGTGGTATGAAAAGTATCATCTCTCACACGTGGCTACCGCCACTCATGAAATATTTATTTTCATTCCATTCGAAGAAAATAAATCTTATATCTATAGGAAAAAACTGAATTCATGTTTATCTTGTTATTCATTTAATATTATACCGGTATCTATATATAAACTAATTAAAAAAATAGATAAACATTTTTTTGTTATATTGTTTCTCTGCTAACATTATCGAAAAGTATTTCATTTAAATTAATGTGTAGTAAAATTGACCACATTTAGACCGGGCCACCACCCTAGGACTATTACAGTTAATTTCTTTAGTTGCATAACCATTTCTTGTACAAATGAAGAATCTAAAACAAAGGGAGGTAAAATTGCAGTATTCAATTATAAAAAAAATATATCCGAATGTCTGGACTGATGTATTGTTTTTATCTTTTATGATCGTAAATGCATCAGATAAATTCTAAGAGTACAGATAAATCATTTCTGCCGGCGCCTGCAGTCGGTAATTAAATATAACTTAAGAGCCACTAAACTCTGTACTTACTTCCCTTGAATTTACAAGATTAATTATTATATTAAGATTATTTGTTGATTTTTAAGAAATTGCAAGAACAATCATTGTAGTATAACGATATTAGATGGCATTTTTATGGCTGAAATTTTGTCATCAGGATATAATTGATATATTAAATCATTAAAAGATGTTCTTTAAAATCTGTAAAATTTTCCATAGACATGACAAAGATTTTATTTGTTTGTTGATGTTTTTCAAATATTAACTGCATTTCACTAAACAACACATCATGACATGTAGTATCTGGGTTCAACAAATATTGAACATAAACTCAGATTGAACACAAGTTATCACCTTAGTGCAATAAGTGGTTAACTTCTATCAAATTTAGAATGACTTAACCCGTTTCTGCACTAAGTTGACGATATATCACTAGAGATAATATCATTGAGAAACAATTTGTAGCGTTCATTTAGGGACAAACGATGTCATTCGGAGAACTGACTTGGAAAGACTTGGAATAATTTAATTTGCAATGGGATATATTGATCTGACCCTTTACAGTAATATCTTGCATTTGATAATTATGGCGTTATTGATTGTAAAGTAATTTATTCCTAAATCTGAATGCACATCTCTAACCGATTTTAAATATTTGTAAAGAAAAATAAAATTATTAGTTGACGTATTTCTTAGTCATTATGTAACACAACTCATTTGCAATACCATCTGTAATTGTTTATCATACATGTCATAGACACTTTGCGAAAGTCAGAAGTTGATATCGGTTAGGCAACTGTTCATGCAAGTAACACAATTTTGTTTAAATCATTTTTGTTTCATTTGATTTACGTATAACTCACTAAATTAAATACTTTTTGTGAAGCATAAAATGATATTTTATTTGCTATTTTTAAATTATTAGGACTCGTTGTAAACCACTATCATGATAAATTATAGTTAATGCAATTCTTACAAATATCTTTAATTTATAGCATACTTAGTTTAATAATCTATCTGGCATTCATGTGCGATATTAACGCTTATCTCTGTCTACTACAAATTTGACTTCATATATAATATCTTCAACAAACTGATGGAAAATTGAATACTGTATATAGTAAAGATTATTTAAGAATGAAATTATATCCTTGAACTTAAAAGAGAGTGCAATATTATACTTGTGACATTGAAGTGCACTTTACCTTCCCAGACCACTTCTAGAATATGAAGTCATTTAAGGAACAAACTGTAAGGAAAGCTCAAAAAAGTATGTTTACAGACTATCTAGATTTTAACGGTGGCCAAGAACACAATGCGTTTTATGTGATACTTGTATTTGATAAATGTATAACAGGTGTAATATGAGTAGACGTTATATAATCAATGACATCAATGGTAATCAGGTTGAGTGCAGAGAGGCAGTTTAACATTTTTAAACAAAATGATAATGCATTGTCATAATTGTTTAAAATTCCATCACAGCTGACTAAAGTAAAAATCAAATAAAGATAAATATTCAATATAAATTAAATAAAATGTGAGAACAAACATAAAAAGTATCAACAAAAAAGCATAACTCAACGGCAACAACGGCAAAGCGACCAGCATGGGTTAATAAAAAATGAGAGAGGACACATTTTAATTGTATTTTTTTACATATTCTATTTTGCCTGATTTGTCCTTGCGTTTTGATAACAAAAATTTAAAAAACAATATAAATAAGATCAACAAGGAAAGGCTACTTTCAATGAACGCCATTCCGATACGACCCAGCAACAAGAACCAGTGGCAAGTAGCCAAGGAGGACCCCAAACCAAACGTCTTTTATGAGAAATGACTTGAATACTTCATTAAGGTACAAAAGACCACACCACACACATTTCTGCAACAGAAGTAAGCGTTATAACAAATTTACTATAATACTGTCTGAAATTGACATTTCTCCAGGAAGAAAACTAATAATTATTCTTACTCTAGTACTTTATTTATTGGCTTTGTCATACGAATAAACAAGGATAGGTTTATATGTGATTCTAAGTCCTTCTCAATTCGTCCAAATTGTGTGTGCTTAAAATTAACGAGAGAATAGCATTACTTCACATTTTCGTTGTCGTTTCATTGTCATAAATAAGGATTTATCTGAAATTGCTTTTTAGATTTAACAAAATGACAAGGCAAGATTGAAAAGTAAATTATGTACTTATTTCCTTATATTTCTTGGATATCAAGTTTGTTTCATACGCCTGAAAAAGAGTTCGGTGAATATTGTTATGCACGTAGTCGTCCTAACGTCTTTTAGCAATTTGGTTTCCAGATATGTATCTTGGAACCATTGGAAAGAAATTTAAACTAACCATATTGAGACAATATGTCGAGCGCAGATTTGACCTTTCTAAGGCCAAGCTTTCACTTAGTAATTTCTTATTAGATTTCAAACTTTCGTGTCTGTTCTGTATATTTTGAACTGATATAAAAAAAATAAAACTTTTTGCAGACATTTTACTTATAACAATATATAGTTAGTACGATGAGTAGAACACAGGTAAGACTTCCCGAGAACAAAATTTGACCCTGCCCCGATGATAACTGACAGTCTTATATAGGAGTGCACATTAATTTAACTTCTTATTAGCGTGTTTTCGCCCCACGACCCCGCCGTTTTATTTCTTAAATCTCGCTACCCACCCTCGCGGGGCGACGTTTTCTTTATTAAACTTCGTCCCGCACCCCTGCTTATTAGCGTGTTTTCGCTCCGCACCCTCACCATTTTATTTCTTAAATCTCGCTCTGCGGGGCCAAGTATTATTTATTAAATTTCGCCCCGCGCCCCCGCTAATAAGCGACTTTTCGCTCCGCGCCCCGCCATTTTAACTTGTTAAATCTCTACTTTTCGCTTGGCGGGTTCGCAAGGCGAAAACACGAATGGCACAAATCAGCCACCATAGAAAATTGCAAAGTCGGTTAGTTTGAGCGTGTTCAATAGAAATGATGAAATGTACATCAAGTTTTGAGGCCCAATAGCACCGGATTAAGCAGTATTCAATCTTTAACACAAAACGAATAAATGTTTCAGAAGGACCAGAAAATATAACAAAAATGGTATGAAATATGGGACAACGTTTTACAGCTGTCAAACAACATTCAACTGTTACACCTTTCGTTATAAAAATAAATGATTTTACTTTATTTCAAGACGTTCCAAAACATTGAGACTCTGAAGTCATAGATTTATAATTATAGTGAAATTCAAAATATGTGATCAAACAATATTCAGCTATTGATTAGCTTTCATCGTGTGTTTTACTGTTAGATGGAAGCCATAACTTTCACTAGAATGATAAATTGTACGATTAATATTGACATACAGACACTTTGTTTTACAAATGATTAAAAATCTGATCCGAAACACAGTTTCGCACACTGTAATGGTATACTAAAGTCATAATACTAGTTGCAAGAAATACTCGCCACGGTTGATTTCTATAAATCATTATTTTTTAATTGCAACCCTTACACAAAATAATAACTTGTTTTCAAATATATAAAAGGGTAATAT